GGAAGGAAGGAAGGAAGGAAGGAAGGAAGGAAGGAAGGAAGGAAGGAAGGAAGGAAGGAAGGGGTCACGAGGTAGCCCAGGGGATTACCTGTTCTGGCTACACAGCAGCTTTAGTTATTTTTCTCTTTCTTTCTTCCTTCCTTCCTTTCTTTCTTCTTTCTTTCTTTTCTTTTCTTTTTTTTTTTTTGAGACAGAATCTCACTCTGTTACCCAGGCTGGAGTGCAGTGGCGCGATCTCGGCTCAATGCAAACTCCGCCTCTTAGGTTCAAGCAATTCTCCTGCCTCAGCCTCCTGAGTAGCTGGGATTACAGGCACGGGCCACCACACCAGGCTAATTTTTGTATTTTTAGTGGAGACGGGGTTTCACCATGTTGGTCAGGCTGGTCTCGAACTCCTGACCTCGTGATCCGCCCTCCTCGGCCTCCCAAAGTGCTGGGATTACAGGTGTGAGCCTCCGCGCCTGGCCTTAGCTATTTTTCAAATGAGACTGTTTCAAGTACTTTTTGACATTTTGCTCACCTCATACTTGCCCCAGTTCATCTCTGAAGGATGGATCCTCATTCAGAGCAGAGATGGGGGTCTCCCAGCTCAGAGGCAGAGCAGGCCCTTCCCCTTCTTGTATATGGCTAAGAGAGCTTCCGCTAAGCCATAGTTCTCAGCCAGAGTGAGTTCATCCTCCCCGGGGACAATTGGCACTGTCTGGAAACGTTTTAATTGTACAACTTAGGGGGTGGGATGGGGATACGATTGGCATCTAATGGGTAGAAGTCAGGGCTGCTGCTAAACATCCTATAATGCACACAGGACAGTCCTCCAAAACAAAGAGCGATCCAGTCCAAAATCTCAACCACGCCACAGTCGAGAAAGCCTGCATCACAGTTTTAGGTTAAAACTACTGCAACTTTTTCACATGTGCTGCCAAAGCCCTGCCCTCCTGAAGGTAAGGTAGCCCCTAAAGAAAGAGCTTTCTGTCTGGTCTGCTCATGACTGCCACCTCCCCAGTCCCTGGAGTAATGATTGACCTAGAGTTGGACATGGCAATAAATATCTGTGGAATAAATGCCTTTTCCCCATTCTGTACTTGTGTCTGTCGAGGCAGGTCATGTGCAAAGCCCTTCTTTCATCTTATGACATCACCCGGGTGCACACCGATATTAACACTGGTTATCTCTAAAACCAATGGGATCCATGTGAATGGATCCCCCACCCCCTCTCCCACACATTCTCTTTTGCTTTTCTGTATTCATATTTATAGCAACCTGACCCCTCTCTGATGCTCATAATTCCTCAGGGCCTCAAGGATATAGGTTTAAGGGACTCTGGCTTTAGCTCTTAGTGGCTTAAGGGAGTTATCTCTGATCTGGAAGATCTATATTCCTCAAGCAATAGAATGAGAGTAGGTGATATGCAGTCTGGGCGAGGGACGGGGGAGTGCTGGGCTGGGCCCAACAGCATGAAGCATTAGCATCAATGTCTTGAATTTGGATCATGCTACCATTCTCTGTCGAGCTGACCCTGAGGTGTCAAGGGAAACAGAAACACACACACAGCCTGCCCAGGCAGTAAGGAAACTCTGCCCAAATTTGCTTAACATGAATTCACATGGGAAACAGCTAGAGGGTAAATCTATAGAGGTAAAACTGACTGGCTGAAGTCCAGCCTAATTTAACACCAAAAACTAGCCTTGCTGGGTGTGATAGCCCATGCCTGTAATCCCAGTGCTTTGGGAGGCTCAGGAGGGAGGAGTGCTTGGAACTGGGAATTCCACACCAGCCTGGCCAACATTAAGAGACCCCGTCCCTACAAAAAATTTAAAAATTAGCCAGACAGAGTGGCGCATGCCCATAGTCCCAGCTACTTGGGAGGCTGAGATGGGAGGATTACACGAACCCAGGAGTTCAAGGCTGCAGTGAGCTATGATCTCGGCACTGCACTTCAGCCTGGGCGACAGAGTGAGACCCTGTCTCTTAAATAAATATAATAACGGTGAAACCCCGTCTCTACTAAAAAATACAAAAAACTAGCCGGGCGAGGTGGCGGGCGCCTGTAGTCCCAGCTACACAGGAGACTGAGACAGGAGAATGGCGTAAACCCGGGAGGCGGAGCTTGCAGTGAGCTGAGATCCGGCCACTGAGCCTGGGCGACAGAGCGAGACGCCGTCTCAAAAATAATAATAATAATAATAATAATAATAATAATAAATAAAATGTATATATATGCGTGTGTGTGATACACTATATATTAGGTTGGTGCGAAAGTCATTGCGGTTTTTGCTACTAAAAGTAATGGCAAAAACCACAATGACTTTCGCACCAACCTAATGTATCTCCTAGGAGGTGCTGATACAGTGTATTGATATTGTCCTGGTACAATTCCAGGGGCCCTCAGGCAGACACTGCCTTGTACCAAGAACTCGCTGCCTTGGGTCATCAAACCATCCCCTCAGTCCGTTGTCTCCTCTAAGGCCCCACATTATCAACGAGATGAGACAGTTTTATCATGGTTGACTGTAGGTGCAAACACCATTCTCCAATGAGAAGACACTGCTTGACTTTCTGTGATGCAACTTGAGGGACGGCTGAGTTACTTGTCCACGTGCAGCCCAGCCCGTGAACACTTGGCCCCTCTTGATAAGCGCGTTGACTACACCATGTCAGCCCTATAAAAAGCAGCCGGCCTGGCTCTTTTCCCAGGCAGCCTGACATCACAGATTCCAGGCTCTGCTATTGTTGTCACACCTGCTGGTGCCCGCTGACAGCACGCTGCCCCCTCCTGACTGCACAGGGCTGACCCGGAATTCCTGGGGGCCCCACAGGCTGCCAGGGCTGACGCCCACCCACCCCATACTTTGGCCCTCAGAGCTGTTTACCCTTTTCCCCTGGACTTTGAGTCTCTCCCCTCCTCCCCATTGGATCTCGGGAAGTCAGAGGGTGCCAAGAAAGCTTGCCTGCCTCTACTCAGCTGTGTTCTTTACGCCAGGACTCACTGGGCTCATTGCAAAGAACCTCTGCAATTAGGAAATTGGTCTTTAACCAGCAGTTTTCTGAGCACATGAATGAGCACAGGGTTCTACGGAGGGTCCCCCTTGTTAGTGAACACAGGGCAGAACCACAGAGAGGAAGGTCCTCTCTGAATTAGTGAAATGTCCCCAGGATAAGTCATAGTTCCACAGCTGGGAAGACGTTGCTTTCACATAGACGCTGCACAGCCAAGCTCTTTGCCATGGAGATGGCCTCCTGGATCTGCCTTAATGCAGGGATAACAGTCATGGTGAGACACCACATTTACCTGATGTGATGGGTCTGCAGTGAGCTACGCAGTGAGCTTCCTTCTAATAAAGGAAGCACCCAGACACTTAGCTCATTGAGAAGCTTCATGGCCAGAGGCAGGAGGAATGTCTTCACCTAAGGATGCATTCTTTCCCTAATGGCCCGGAGGGGCCACCTTTCTTCTCCACCCTCCTCCAGGGAAAGTGGACATCTAGACTCCTTTCTTGGGGACATCGGATGGCTAGAGACCAGCTGGCTTCTCACAGCCACCCCTAAGACACCTGCCTTAACCCCAAGGATGGAATAATCAGGGCTCAAAAGATCTGTTGCCTCGGTCAGCTTGGCCCAGGCTGAGAGGGGAGATGCTGCTGTTGCCGCCTTTTCTGCAGCTTTCTCTCCAGCAGACACAGCCAGGACCCAATGCTGATGTACGTGAAACCAACCAATCCCTTCTTCACTCAGGCATTATTCCCAGAAGATGGCTCAAGTCCCACTTCACTGTTTCTCCCTCCCCTTCCCTCCCCTCCCCTCCTCTCCCCTCTTCTCCCCTCCCTTCTCTTCTTTTCCCTTCTTTTTAGAGACAGGGTCTTGCTATGTTGACCAGGGTAGTCTCAAACTCCTGGCCTGGGCAATCCTCCTGCCTTAGCCTCCCAAAGTGCTAGGATTACAGAAGTGAGCCCCCAAGCGTGGCCCCACTTCACTATTACTTTCATCGTTTCTGCAATCAGTCTTGGAAGTGTCTGGGAACACCTGGAAAAGGCAAGTGGTGAATGACCTTCCTGAGGCCTCTAGCCACCCATGCCTCCATCTAGCCACCCATGCCTCCATCTAGCCACCCATGCCTCCATGACTTTTCTTGCTCTGGGCCCTGACATCTCAAGGTAGTTTGGGTCTCATACCTTAACAAGGCAGTGCTGGTGACATTAACTGGAACTCTGCCAGGCCAGTAAGCCAGTGCCGGGACCCGGTGCCCTCCTTCCCAGGTCGTCTGCTTGGCTGGACTTCCCCCTGTGAGAGGAGGGGAAGCAGCTGGTTCATCCATGGTGATAACTCCAGATTTCTTTTCAGCTAAGAGTTAGTCTCTGGGAGAACCCCTGTCTGAGTTTCCAATAACCCCAACAAAGGAATGACATTTTTGGTAACTAGCTATTTCCCTCAACTAGCTAGTGTCTTTCAATATATGCTTTTTATTTTACTGGACTTCAGATGTAAAACGTTGCCTCACTCTACTGAATCACCTCATTTTATTTTCTTCATGAGACCTTCCCCACCGTAAATTATTCTTTTCATTTATTGATTTGCATGTTGTATGTCTCAACATCATGAGACTTCATCAGTCTCATGCACCTAAGACATAGTAGGGCTTAACAAATCTTTGTTGAGTGAGTGAATTTCTCTTCCTAGTGATCATAATGTGACTGTCTGTTTAAGATGAAGAAATACAACTATTAAAGAAGAGAAAAAGAAGGAAACTTCTGAAGCTATTTGATCAGCTCAACGTCCAAGAACCGATCTGGCATGGATTTTATGGCTTTATTTTGTTTTGCTTTGCTTTGTTTTTCCTTGAATTAATGAGTTGTACTGATGTTATGGAGACAGTGTCAGTAATAGCTCCAACCTCTTGCCTCCTGGGGGAGGTAAGAACCAACTACGTGCAATCTATGCATTTCCACTTTGGTTATTAAAGGAATTATTTTTGTAACCATTAAGTCAAAAGCGACCACCAGTATAATGATGGCTAGCGGGCTGGAAGAGATGAGGTCATGTTTGATGGAAACATCCTGAATACATGTTGGGTTGCATGAACCACGGCCATCCCACCACCCCCACACACACCCCACCCTCATCCTGGTTGAGCCAAGGGCCAAGGATCCCACAAAGTTAGCGTGTGCATGGCCTTTCCAACGCAAGTGCTGTGTGTGGCTCACACACACTGTGGTCATGCAATTTCCCTTTGTTTGGCTGGTGTGAATAATAAAAGCAATTATGTGGGGAGGAACGTGGGGAGGAACAAGATGAAGGCTTCTGTCGCCCTGTGCTAGCACTGCTGCAAATGGAACCTTTGATGTCCCTGGCCCAGCACACCACACGGGAAATGCTCAGCATTCTTAGGGCTTTTTCATAACCAGCTTTGGAGTCCCTCAAGTTTTGAAGTAAGAAACAAAACACAAAATAACTTACGTCCTATGGACTGTTTATGTTTAAGGGTGTGGGGTTCAAAAATCCAATTGGGGTCTCTGCAGGCTGAGTGAGACGCTCTTTGATCTAGCCCAGCATTTCTCAAATACATCCTTCCTATCGAGAGCCACATCTCCCATAAATACATATAGCTCCCTCCAATTTATTCACGCACTTGGAACAAAGAATCCAGAACTCCAGCAAGCATAAGACACATGTCCACGTGGCTTTGGAATGTATGACTTACGCTTCAGCTTAGGGCCAAAGAGCAGGGAGGAAGCATCCGCTCAAAGGCATGTGCTGGGGCTTTGTGGATACTTCCACCCCCATGGGGGCATCTTTGTGGACGCTTGGGGTATGGGTGGGTGAAACCGGGGAGCCTGTTTATCCGCATGTCCATGGTGTACAATATTCAAATAGTCTTGCTTAACCTTTGAGGCCAGATGCTAAGGAAAGATCAAGGCTGTAGTTCCAGGAAACAAGCCATTAGCTTTACTGGTCCACCAGAAGGCACTGGGGTGGGCAGTGGCACCAGGGTTGAACACAGGATTTGGTCTCTGCCTCCAGGATGTTTCCAGAAGGGTAAACTGATCTTTAATTAATAAATTTGCTACTCGGTCTTCACCACTAGGAATTCTTCTCGTTTGCCACAACCTTTTGTTTTGTTCTCTTGTAGCTGACTGACTTTCCTAATACGCTCTTCAGAGAAAAACATTTCAATGTGCTTGTCTTATTTCAGCAAAGGATTGAAAGCTAGAGGGGTTTGGAGGAATCCGGCTAGTTATAAAACAGGTGTAGTCAACAAAGCAGACAATCTCCTTGCAAAAGATTCAGGAATTAGGAGAAAGAAAAAGATTGGCTGAGAGAAGTCCCTTAGTGTGGTCACTTAAGGAGCAATCCCCTCTTTCTGTTGTAGAGACTAGTCGGCTAGTGCAGGCTACACCCTGGGTTCTGGCTCTAACAGGAAGACACAATTATATATGCCAGCCGTGCAAATGATCACAGGCCCACAGATCTTGTATTCTAAAGGGATTCATCTTAAAAGGGTCTAGAGTGTGAACAAGCAATTCTTAAATATTTATGTATCACCCACAACGCAGATACCGTCTTGCTATAAATTCCAATTTCTCACTGGTACTTCTAGGAGTGGACAAAACTTACAAAGATCTGACTAGCATTCTATCAGCCCCTAGGGTTGTATAGTCTAATTATGAGATGCATATGCTTGTATTAAACAGGCGTGTTGTGTTTTATCTGCACCAGTAAAGGCTGAATTCTAAGGTAGCTACTCCTAATCCCCCAATATTCTTCAGTAATACCTGCTCCCACTAATGGGTAGTTATTCTAAATTAAACATAATATTAATAACAACAATAGCATCTCCTATTTATTGAGCCCTTACTAAGTACCAAGTTAAGTGCTCCTCAGCATAAAGACACATGCTTCCTGGCATTATCTCATTGAATCCTTATGACACCCTCTCAAGTTAGCTACTATTGTCCCCATTTTTCAGATGGGGAAACCAAAGCTCAGAGAGGCGAAGTAATTTGCCCCCAAGTCACATAGCTAGAAAATGATAGAGCCGGCTGGGCGCGGTGGCTCACGCCTGTAATCCCAGCACTTTGGGAGGCTGAGGCGGGCGGATCACGAGGTCAGGAGTGTGAGACCAGCCTGACCAATATGGTGAAACCCCATCTCTAGTAAAAATACAAAAATTAGCCAGCCGTGGTGGCACATGCCTGTAATACTAGCCACTCAGGAGGCTGAGGCAGGAGAATCACTTGAACCCGGGAGGCAGAGGTTGCAGCGAGCCAAAATTGAGCCACTTCACTCCAGCCTGGGTGGCAGAGTGAGACTCTGTCTAAAAAAAAAAAAGAAAGAAAGAAAATGATAGAGTCAAGATCTGAATGCCGGTCTGACTACACAGCCAGCACCCTCGCTCACTAAACCTAGGGCAGTGGTTCCCATTTTGAATATGTATTAGAATCACTGGGGAGCTTTTAAAAAATACCCATGCCAAAGTCTCTTTCCCAGAGACTGTGATTTAATCGGCCTGCAGTGAGGCTCTGACATAAAATCTTCTAAAACTCTCCTGGGGTTTAGTGTGGAGAGCACCCATTCCCAGGGAAGGAGGGCAACGGGCAAGATAGGGAAGAAAACACAGCACATTTCAAAGTTAAATGTAGCTAATGGTCATCGTCACCGCAGGCTTTCTGTTGCCCACGCCTTTATACCTCTATGCCACAGCGTCACAAATATGACCTTATAAGTCATAGTAAGTAAGAACAATAGATAATCCATAAATGAAACTTCTAATCACTTTTCAATTTCAAACACTATTCATTCATTTAGATAAGCTTCCATACTTTGATCAGGCACTGGCACGTTAAAAGTGTTAGTTGCCTTCGGCTTTCTGTCGAGAAATGCATGTCTTATGGCCATGAGAATGCATTTCTATGCACTCGTGGTTACTTATGACTCTAATTAAAGCAGAGCCTCTTACTTAAAGCAATAAATATTTAGCCACAGCAACCAAAATATAAACAAAACCATGATTCATGAATTTGCTTATTTGTGCTTCTCTGGTTACGGAAGTGAAGTGGCATTTTATGATGCATCGAGACAGGGGCAGGCCGAGGAAGACTCACCACTGCCCACGCGGAGGAATAGTGGTCTTTCTTGGCTGGGACCCAAGGGCCATGTTTCACTGAGTCAGAAAGGCAAGGCAGCAAACAAGGAAATTCGCAAATTTCTCCATACAGAAGAATCACCACAAGAGATCTCATCTAAGATATGGATTTCTGGGTCCTATCCCCAGGAATTCTAATCTAATAAGTCCGGGGTGAGGCTCTGATTCTAGGTAATTCTGATGTCAGTGGTCTGAAAACCAGAGTTGAAGAAGTATTCAAGGAATAATTAGGACGATACCTTTGGGGGCAGGCAGGTCTCCAGTGGCACCCCTGCCAACCAAGTGGCCTTGGGCAGAATTCATAACCTCCCTCAGTCTCAATCATCTCAGCCAGGAAGCAGGGAAATGATTGTACAGTTGACCCTTGAATAACACAAGAGTTAGGGCACTGACTCCCGCGCAGTTGAAAATCTGGGCATAACCTTTGACTCTTCCAAAACTTAACTACTGATAGCCTTATGTTGACCAGGAAGCCATACCAATAACATAAACATTCAATTAAGACATATTTAGTATCTTATATGTATTATATACTGTAGACTTATCATAAAGTGAGCTAGAGAAAAGAAAATGTTAGTAAGAAAATCCTGGCCAGGCACAGTCGCTCACAACTGTAATCCTAGCACTTCAGGAGGCCAAGGCAGGAGGATGGCTTGGGCCCAGGAGTCCGAGACCAGACTGGGCAACGTAGTGAGACCTCCTGTCTCTACAAAATAAATAAATAAATAAATAGCTAAGTGTGGTAGTCCCAGCTACTTGGGAGTCCTAGCTGGTAGTCCAAGCTACTTGGGAGGCTGAGGTGGGAGGATCGCCTGAGCCCAGGAGGTTTAGGCAGCAGTGAGCTCTGATTAGATCACTGCCCTCTAGCCTGGACAACACAGCACGACTCTGTCAAAAAAGAAAAAGAGGAAAAAAGTAAGAAAGAAAGAGAAAGAGAGAGAGAAAGAAAAGAAAGAAAGAAAGAAAGAGAAAGAAAGAAAGAAAGAAAGAAAGAAAGAAAGAAAGAAAGAAAGAAAGAAAGAAAGAAAGACAAAGAAACAAAGAAAGAAAGAGAGAGAAAGAAAGAGGAGAGAGAGGGAGGGAGGGAGGGAAGGAAGGGAAGAAAGAAGAAAAAAGAGAAAAGGAAGGAAGGAAGGAAAAG